AGAAGCAAGAAAAATAATACACAGGACAAAGTAAATATGGGAATAAAGAGAAGAAAAAAATTATCCAAGATTACTATAGAGAATTGTATGAACAAAAAAACATAGAGGAGGAAAATGTTAAACAATATCTCCCAAAAGCGAACCTACCCCAGATTCTTAAGGATATTGAAGAGATGTTAGAGAGAAATATAACCATGATGGAACTAACTGAAGCAATTAAAAAACAAAAGAATGGGAAGGCACCAGGTCCGGATGGACTGCCAACAGAATACTATAAGACATTCAGGAATCCCTGTGTCTCCCACTGTTAGAAGTCATGAATGAAGTTATGTCAAGGATGGAAATATTTAAGTCATGGTCAGAATCATATATTACACTTGTTCCTAAAGAGGATACTGACCCACAACAAATTAAAAACTACAGACCTATATCCCTGCTAAAGTCAGACTATAAAATCTTTGCTTCAATACTGGCAGAAAGACTCAAAAGTTATTTAAATAACTTTATACATTCTGACCAAAATTGGTTTCTGCCAAAGAGACAGATTAGAGACAATATAAGAATAATTCTGGACACGTTGGAATATTATGAGGCCCATCCTGAAAAGCAAATGGCTTTGCTATTTTTAGATGCACAAAAAGCTTTTGATAATGTGAACTGGCGATTTATGTTACTTCAAATGGAACAGATAGGCTTTGGCAGAAAATTCATTCAAGCAATAGAAGCCATATATCATAAGCAAACAGCAAAAGTAATGATAAATGGAGAATTGAAAGATTCTATTGAGATAAAGAAAGGTACGAGACAAGGTTGTCAACTGTCCCCTCTGTTGTTTGTATTAACATTAGAAGTGCTAAATAGAAATATCAGAGAAGAAAAAGATATAAAAGGAACGAAAATTCGAAGGGAAGAATATAAATTGCAAGCGTTCGCAGATGACCTGGTTTTTATGCTTGAAGAACCATTAGCATCAATAACTACACTGATAGATAAAAATAGGAGAATTTGGAAAAGTAGCAGGTTTGAAGATTAATAAAGACAAAACGAAGATTTTGACAAAGAATATGTTAATAAAACAAAAAGAAGAATTGGCGGAAATATCAAAGATGCAGGTCACAAATAAGGTTAAGAGCCTTGGTAGTACAGTGGTCTAAAGCACCCTGTTATTAAGAACAGCTGCCTGCAATTACTGCAGGTTCAAATCTCGCCAAGGCTCAAGGTTGACTCAGCCTTCCATCCTTTCTAAGGTAGGTAAATTGAGGACCCAGTTTGTGGGGGCAATAAGCTGACTTTGTATAAATATACAAAAGAATGAAGGCTATTGCTTAGCCCATTGTAAGCCGCCCTGAGCCTCCGGAGAAGGGCGGCATATAAATCAAAAAAAATTTTTAAAAAAAAAGTACTTGGGGATATACTTGACAGCAAGATGTAGCACACTTAAAGAGAATAACTATAATAAACTCAAACAACAGATTGGAACAGATTTGGAGAAATGGGAAAATTTACAATTATCACTGATAGGGAGAGTATCAACTATTAAGATGAATATATTGCCTACAATTTTATATTTGTTCCAGACAATTCCAGTTAGATTGGGAAAAAATTATTTTGAAGAATTGAACAAAATAGTGTTAAAATATATTTGGGCAGGGAAAAAAGGCAAGGATAAAATTAAAGTTGTTACAAGATGCTAGAATGAGAGCGGGTTTTGGTTTACCTAATTGAGAACTTTATTATCAAGCGACAAGTTTGATGTGAATTAAAGAATGGATAATGTTAAGGAATACCAGATTATTGACTTTAGAAGGACATGACTTGTTGTTGGGGTGGCATGCTTTTTTATGTTATAAGGGAACAAAAGCACAGGGGTATTTTAGAAGACACTACATATGAGAGGCTTTGTTATTAAATTGGGAGAAGATTAAAAAAACAACATTATTTGAAAATTCCAGTCTGGGTATCAATAATTGAAGCATTTTCACATTTAACAACATTTAGAAGGGAACAAATTGTTAGATATAGTGAATTTCTTGGATGAAAAGGGTGAACTTAAATTGAAGCAAGAACTGGAAGAACAAGATTTAAAGATGAATTGGTTTTCTTATTTGCAAATACATTCTAGACATGAAGAAGATTCTAAGCAAGAAGGTTTCTATAATATCTTGACTAACAGATAAAATGTTAATGGGTCCTGATGACTATGTAATTAAAAAATTGTATGGTTATTTATTAGAGGTAAAATTAGAAGAAGAACAAGTTAAAGAAACAATGATTGCATGGGGGAAAAATTTTGGTTATGGAATTGATTTAGAGAAATGGCAAAAATTGTGGTTGCAAAATTATAAAATGACAATGTCAACAGCATATAAGGAAAACTTGTATAAGATGTTTTATAGGTGGCATTTACCCCCGACGAAAATAGCCAGAATGTTCAAGAATAAATCTGAAAAGTGTTGGAAATGTCATCAGACACCGGGCTCATATTACCATATGTGGTGGACATGTGTAGAAGCTAAAAGATACTGGACTAAAATCCACACATAGTTGGAAAAAATGATAAAAAAAACACATAGACTTTAAACCAGAGATTTTTTTATTAGGAATTATACCAGAAACATTCAATAGAGAACTGAGATATTTGATTGTGAATGTATTGACAGCGGCTAGAATTGTGTTTGCTAAAAACTGGAAAAATGAGAAAATACCAACACAAGATGAAGTTATTAAGAAAATCATGGAATGTACTGAAATGAGTAAATTGACATTTGAAATTAGAGAACAAGAAGATAAACAATATTATAAGACAGGCATCCTCAAACTATGGCCCGCGGGCCGGATACAGCCCACCAATGCAAAGTATCCGGACTGTGGAGTGATGGGATTCAGCCCCGCCCCTCACCCCAACCCTCACCATCGGCCTTATCTTCCAGCGATCATCCACTCCAGCTGCACTTTTGGTTAGTTATTTTACCACAGCTGCCAGCATGTAAAGTAGTGCTTTAAAAATCTTTAAAATGCTTTAAAAATGTTTTTATAACAGCCTTTCAGGGTATTTTTCAAAGCCACATGATTCAGGGCCGGTGGGTGAGTAGGGGAAGGGGTGCTGCTGCTTTGAAAAGCAGCTTCCAGCTTGTAAAGTAGTGCTTTGAAAGTATTTAAAAATGCTTCAAAAACAGCCTTTCAGAATGTTTTTCACTAACATATGATCCAGGGCCGGTGGGTTGAGTAGGGGAGGGGCTGCTTTTAAAGTAGCCCTTTAAAAGTGGGAGGGTGGGGGAGATGTCTCCATGTCTCCTAGCTTTTTCAAAATCAGCTGAAGTTGGCTAACACTAATTCAAATGCAACTTCAGTACAATGCCTGAAGGAGAACTCACCCACTGCTTTGATTCTTGCCATATATAAAGTACATCCACCAAATTGGTTGCTGAACAATTTTGGTAGATATTGATGTGTGTCTATACACATGCACAAGTGTGGCAAAAAGCAAATCAGTTTCTGAATTCTCCTCCAGGCTTAAAAGTCTTTGCCCTGTAATCCCAAATAATTCAAAAAAGGAGGCTGGTCTCCTATCCCTTCCCTGGGCGCCTCCCCTGCTGGCAGGCACTCACAGGTCATCTGTGTTCTGTCCCCATCTCACACATGCATACAAACAGACAGCCGGGGATTAAATAAACTGGCAGACAACCAATTCTTCCGATAAGAAGCTTGGCAGCAACCCAGTAGCTGCTTGCCAAGAACTTTACTCAATAAACAAAATATACACAGTCAAGAATTGTCCAGTTCGTAAAATAAATCCAAGGCCGATAATGTTGTTTCCAAAGATGCAATGTGACTCGATAGTAGTTAGTTTTGTCCATCACAGAGTCTGAATGGCCACCTCACCCCCTTTTATACCCTGTGGATTGTGGTCCAGTGACTCAGCCTAATCTCTGGCACGCCTTTTCTTCTGTTGCGTGCGTTTATCTCTGTGACGCTGGTGTGGATCCAGCCAAGACTCATTACCCTCATCACTGTCCACCAGAGGCTGCGTGGACGTGCTTGGCCCCGGCCCTATCTCTTGCCCTTCGGCGGACACCGAAGGCATTGCCAGAGAGGAGGGTCCTGGAGAAGGAGGCCTTGCCAACTCCTCTCCTTCACTCTCGGAGTCCTCTCCTACCGATGACACAAGCTCAGGTAACGGAGCCACAACAATCTGAAACATATGATCAGGAGTTATTTTGAAGGAAATACTGTTTGTTTTATTCTTTTTTTTTAATGGCCTATTTTAAGTAGCCTGAAGCTGCTGTTGTAATGAAGTTAGGCAAGTGGCAAGAAAGTTTGCACTCTTTTTCCCTTCTGGTGGTGGGGGTCTTAAGTAAATAGATTCCTTGAGTTGAGCAAGTACAGCAAGAACAAAGGCAAAATGGACTGCTAAATTGGCCATGCCCACCCAGTCACATGACCACCTAGCCACACCCACTCAGCCAGTCTGGCCCCCCAACAAGCTGAGGGACTGAGGAATTGGCCCCCTGTTCAAAACATTTGAGGACCCCTCTTATAAGATATGGGATTTATTTTACCAAGGGCTAGATAATAAAACATGGAAATGAAATATGAAATATAAAATGAATGTTAGAATATAATATGTGAAAATAATGTGTTTTTTTTAATGATAATGCCATTGTTGAATAAATGATAAATGAGAATAGTGATATAAAGATATGTATCTTTATTTATAGGTCAGAGGCATCTGTGGCTTCTCTCCTCATTGCCATTATCCAAATGATACTGATTTAATTGTCGTCTTGATGCTTATTCTCTAGAAACCTTGCAACAACCTTTCCGAAGATTCGACACAAACATCGCAATCATATGTTTCCATCTTGACTCCACACAAAAGGCTTGAGGGCTGTTGCCATGGCATTGGCAATCCATAAATGGGTCTGGAGAGAGAGAGGAAAACCTGGGGAAGTGTTTTTCTCCTCTCCACTTCAGAAATGAAACCTTGACTGGATTCCGTCTGAAATAAGAAATCTTTCTTCCACTTCACCTTCTCACATTTTCTTCACACTATACACAGGGTTGGAGGCTCCATCAGGAACACACCATGTTGCTACATCTGCTGCTTCTTCTGTGGACCCAGGGAGTCTGGGCTGTACTCAGAGCCAAATGCCTCCTGACCCTACAGAGAGAAGAACGCGATCCAAAGAATCATTATAGACCAGGAGACCTTTACATCGGTGGCATAATCTCTGAAGTCAAGACTCTTTTTAATCAAGTAACTTTCAAAAGAAGGCCTTCTTCTCAATTATATGCGTAAGTCAATCTTCCTATACTGCATTAGAGCAATTCTATTTCTGTTTCAGCAGTTCCAGCCAGACATACTACCATTTTACCTTTGGGGATCTATTTTAATCCCTCCAGCTAATTAACCTCCTTTGAAATTAGCAAGTAAAATCATCAAGCAAAAATCTTCTTGACTTTGAAGTGGGAGTGGGAAAAGTATTATTATATATAAATAAAATGATCCAGACAATACGCTGTTCACTAAGTACCTATGTATGTAATGTGAAAATATATAAATGAACTGTTTTAAAAAAGAATACTTTCCTTAGTATTTTTAAAAGACAGGTGGACTGTGCATATTAGTTACTGCTCTCTTCTCCCATACATGGAAGTGAACACGGACACAAAAATGAAGCAATGCTATTTCTTTTCCCTATATTGAAAATGGGTTAGACACCCCTTTCTGTTTCTGAGTCTTTCATTCATTGATAATTATATGAAAGCATCCTAGATCAGCATTTATTATTTCACTGAGTTTCTATGTCTATGATTCCCATTTTGAACTGATAATAAATGCCGTAATCGTATAATGATTTATAATGTAAACTTCAGACTTTTGACAGTGGACATCAAAATGTATAGGAATCGATAACCTATTGGCTTTGTTAAGGTTCAAAGTTCGTTTTCTGTTTGGTTTGTGTCCGAGTGTGAATTTATTCTGTATTTAACATTCAAACAACTCCAATATTCAATACCGGAGAATATAAACAGAAAGAAAGACAGAGAATATATAAGCCTTAGACCAACCTCGAAAGTAAGCCAAAGCTAAAAATAAATAGATTTCTTTTTTATAACTGTTTTGTAATGGTCATCTTCTAATATTTACATATAAAAGGAATTTATATTACGTGTTTTGTGTTTGTTATATTTTGTTGTGTTATAAATAATTTTTTTAATAAAATAGATTTCTTCAGACCTAAATTGCACTGAGCACCTTTTTTAAAAATGTAAATTGAATGAATCCCAGGGTTTTATTAAAATATGGAAGATAACTGGGTGATCTCTTACTCTTCTTTGGATATAGGAAGTAATCCATCCAAATTTGTCATCAAATTCTGAAAAACCGGTCAGTGGCCACATACTTGCTTTGTGATTTGAAATATGATCAGATCTGTTTTATTAATGTAAATTATTGTTTCTTATCATTTTTAAGTTGCATTTATTCTGCATTGCTCTAGGCCATTTAGAAGAATTCCTGGGCTAAAGCCGGTTAGAACTATTTTGGTAAAAACAGATTAAATAAAATGTTCTCATTGACTAGCATGCGTTTAATACATTATCCTTGCAGGAATTCAATGATGGAACATTCAAAAATGCTATCCTTCATTCTGGCCATCCAAGAGATCAACCAGGATTCCCATCTCTTGCCCAACATCACCCTGGGTTACACTATCTATGATAATTTTGACAATGCAGGTCATACTTCAGAGGCTTTGCTGGACCTGCTTTCAGAGGGGGAGGCCACTGTCCCCAACTACAGTTGTGGGAGACAGAGAAGCCCATTGGCTGTCCTTGAAGGCACTGAAACCGGTTTCTCCATCCAGATATCATCCATGTTGGGCACCTACAAAATCCCACAGGTGAGTCTCTGCTGGGGAGATCATTTTTAATCATGCAGCTTTCACTGAAGGATGTAGTAAAGCAAACATATCCACTCTCGCCATGGTCCCAGTCCAAATTTGGGGACCTTTCCTTCTGGAATAAAAAATTCTCTTCAGGAGAAAAGAGAAAAAAGCAGGGCATGAAGCAATGGGTGAGTAGAGGAGTCTTCACTACAAGGAACACTACAAAGCCTTCATTAGGAACAGAACTGGTGTCTTGCTTTTTGGCCTTGTTGGGTCTACCATAAAATAGCATTTTTTGTTCCTTTTCAGATTAGCTACAATTTTGTTTCCCAGGTTCTGAGGGATAAAACTCAGTTTCCTTTCTTCTACCCGATGCTCCCTGCTGAAGGATTCCAGTATTCAGGGATGGTCAAGCTTCTCCTCCATTTCAGGTGGACTTTGGTTGGTCTGATTGCCATCGACACCGAGAAGGGGGAGAAATTCCTGACCGTCTTGACTTCCATGCTGATTAAGAACGGCATCGCTCCAGTGATCTCACAGACCATTTCACCAACTGTTTCAACAATTTTTCTAAACCTTCATTTATATTACAAATGGAGAAAAGCAAACGTCTTTCTTTACGCTACAGAGATAAGTTCAATCAATGCAGGACCGGATCTTCTTAGTTCGGTACATCACATCATAAAGGGGCCTCCTGCAGGGAAAATCTTGATGGCCACAATACTCTCAGACTTAACTGTTCCTTTCTCGAAGTTTGTACTTTCACAATATTTCATTCATAGCATTATTTCCTTTGTTCTGAAGGGAAAGCAAAGGCTGGATCGTCACCAGTTTAGGCTGTTTCATACTTACGTGGGGCGTTTTAAAGGAAAATCCTTTATGTGCTCAGAAACCAAGGATGCCTTTTCTGTGACGGTCTGGAGACGATGCAGAGAGAGAGAAAAACTACAGTCTCGTCCCCAACAGATGAAGGATCAGATCCTTTCTCTAGACAATTATATCATTTACAACACCATCTGGGCTGTGGCACGAGCCTTACATGCAGCCTTGTTGACCAAATCCAAGAGGAGAAAGATGGAAGGTGGGAAGAGCATAAAAACCCCACGACTGAGGCCTTGGCAGGTATTTCTTTTATATTACACGCATCTCTCCTACAGCCAAGAATCCATTTTTGTAATTATAAAAACTGGGCAGCTATTCCGAGAAAGATCATTTATTCTGACTACAGAAAGTAAATTCAATTCCAATTTCGATTCCTCTCCCTTTTGCAGCCCCCTCACCCCTTCCCCTTATTTAACAACGTATTTTCTTTCATAATTATTTTTTAAAATCAATAAGGGAAATAGAGGGAAGAAAGGAGCAATCTTCTTTAGTCAGACTTCTCAGGCATACCAGACAGGAAACAAATCAGAAGAGCCACTTCTATTTGTTTGTTTCTTTGTTTATTCGATTACAAAATATATCCATCTCAGCAAATGACTCTGGTGGTCACAATTCAAAAATACATTACAATTAAAATTTAAAAAAAAACATTTGAAAACACTAAAAACAGTAGAAAACATTACAATAATAAAAATAAAACATTAAGACATCTGATTCGAGTACATACAAGTAAGACATTTGGCATGTTAACAATATAGCTGTCCAGGTTCCTAGTAAGAGACTCAAAACTCTGAGGCAAGTACCATGTTTCCCCGAAAATAAGAACAGGTTTTTGGTTTTTTTGACCCCCGAAATAAGCGCTTGGTCTTATTTTCGGGGAGGTTTTATTTTTTCCCCATGTACCGGGAGGTGGGGGGCAGGGGGGAATGCTGCCCATTTTACCAGCAGTATGGTCCATGGAACAGCTGATCAGCGGGTGACCTCCTGCCGCCATCTCAAAGAATCGCAGCCACTCTTGCAGCTGATTGAGGCTGCAAAAGCAGCAGGAGGCCCCACACGCCTTGTGCCCCCTTCAAGAACAGTCTTACCTCAATCGATTGGGGAGGGGCACGGACCTGCAACCATCGGAGCTGGTGAGTCCAATGACGAATAAGGCTGTGGCAGCAATGGGACATCTGGTCCCAGTGGCATGCGACAACCGCAGCGGTGTGGCTGGGCTGATGGCATGGTGCAGAGTCCTGGGAAGCATGGCTGGAAGCACGTGCACAACCACAGGGGCGGACAGCTGACAAGCGGCTCTGTTGCACTGCCGCCAGAAGTCCCATCGCCGCCGTCACCTCCCTGTTCTTCGCACCAGCCGTGCACCTCGTCGCCTGCCGGTGCCGCTCGCAGCCAGACCCGGCCAGGAGAGCAGCCTACTGATGAGCGGCACTGTCCTGACATGTCCTGCTGCAGCAGCCTCAGTTGTCATTGGACTCGCTAGCTCCGATGGTTGCAGCTCCATGCCCCCCCACCACCACTACCCCCAGGTATGATGAGCCCCAGATCAGGATTCGACAAGGGGCCCTCAGCTATGAGGTTGCCTAGTGCTGGTGCTGGTGCTGGTGCTGGGGCTGGGGCTGGGGCTGGGGCTGGTAAAAGTATGCAAGAAATACCTCCAGGCACCCAGAGAGATAGAAGGAGAGGCAGCTCCCAATCAGCTCAGCTGATCCACGGGTCCCAATTTATTTATTTTATTTTTATTTTATTTATTTTTATATGCTGCCCTTCTCCGGAGACTCAGGGCGGCTTACAATGCGTTAAGCAATAGTCTTCATACTTTTGTATATTTTATACAAAGTCAGCTTATTGCCCCCACAATCTGGGTCCTCATTTCACCTACCTTAGAAAGGATGGAAGGCTGAGTCAACCTTGAACCTGGTGAGAATTGAACTCGCAGTAATTGCAGGCAGCTGGATGTTAAATGCTGCCTTAGTAGGAGGCATTAGCCTCCTACGCCACTCAGGTTCCAATTAAGGGGCCCAGCTACCATTTGCTGACTGGGGAAGGGAAGGGCTGCCTCCTGTGCTGGCCATGCCCAGCCCTTCACTGGGGCTTACTATTGGGGTAGGGTGTATATTAGGCCCTCCCCATAAAATCAAGCTAGGACTTATTTTCTGAATAGGTCGTATTTTCGGGAAAACACGGTAGATTCCTCAAAGAATAGCTTTTTGGATATATCATATTGGTACAGATCTGGTGAAACCCGACTCTGAAGACTCCTGCAGTTTTCACCTAATTAAAGTAAAAGTTTATCACTTTCTCAAAAAAATCAGTCACATGGTCCAATTATGGCACAGTCTGGTTGCTGGGTGACATCACTCCACCTTCCTCTGACCAGGTGTGAGGATGTCCTTGGTTCCCAAGAGAAAGTATTTTGTTCTGACTACAGAATCCCAACTATCTCAAATCCCACCTCCCTATCTCTCAGCTCCATCGTGGCAACACTGAAGCTGTCAAAAATGGCTTCAGTCAGGTCAGCTTCAAGGTTGACAATAGGGAGGAGGTGGGGCCCTTGGCTGATGTAGCACCACAACCTCAGATGCATAGCCAGGTTTTTGAAGTTTTACAGAAGACTAACAGTGTTGGGACCGTTCTAATCTCTGAAAGAAGAATATTTCACAGAGCAGGGGCTGCTGCAGAAAAAGCTTGTCTTCTAGTCCCCATTCTTTGGCTGATAGGATCTGCAGCATGCCCATCCTATTTGATCTAGTTGGGCAGGTAAAAACCCTTGAAAAAAAGGTGATTCCCCAGGTACCCTTGTCCCAAACTATGTAGGGCTTTATAGTACCTTGAATTCCACCCAGAAACACACTGGTAACCAATGCAGCTCGTGCAGGACTGATGTTATGTGTGCCATATATCTGGCCCCAGTTACTACCCATGGAACTGCATCCTGCACCAGTTGAAGCTTCAGAATGGTCTTCAAGGGCAGCCCGATATAGACACGGTTACAGTAGTCTAATCTGGAGTTTACTAGGCAATGGGTTAATGTGATTAGGGCCTCCCAGTCCAGGTATGGGCACAGCTAACACACCACCCGAAAGTATGTAAAGGCCGTCTTGACCATGGTGGCCATTTTAAAATTTTAAAAAACATTTGAAAACACTAAAACCAGTAGAAAACATTACAATAATAAAAATAAAACATTAAAACATCTAATTCGAGTACATACAAGTAAGACATCTGGCCTGTTAACAACATAGCCAGGAGGAGAGGCCCTCGACTGATGTAGTACCACAACCTCGATTCGTGAATCCACAAGCATCCCCAGATTGTGCACCGGGTCTTTTGGGGGCAGTGCAACCCCATCCAGGACCAAAGATGAAAGATCCTTGACTTGGGGGGGGGAATCCAAATACCCACAGCACCTCTACCTTGCAAGGGTTGAGTTTAGAATCTATTTAACTCCATCCAATCTCCAAAAAAAACCCAGGCACTGTGATACGACATCCATGGCATCAGTCAAGGGGTCCAGAGAAGAGATATACAGCTGGATGTCATATGCATACTGATGATATCTCACCCAAAACTAATGAATCACCTTACCCAGTGGCCCCATGGAGATATTAAATAGAAAGGGAGAGAGAACAGAGCCATATCTGGAACGAGCTCCCCCCGGAGATACGGAGGATCCAGGATCTGTGCACTTTCCGCCACGCTCTTAAGATCTTCCTATTCCAGCAAGCTGGCCTGGCCTAACCTTTTCCCCCCTTTTCTTTTAAATTGAAATTTTTAAATCTGTTAAAATTTTAAATCTGTTTTTAAATTATTGGGATGTTTTAAATTTGTCTCGGGCTAAATTGTTTAATCTGGTTTTATTTTTGCTTTTAAATTTTTGTATTTTTGTATTTTATTTTTGTGCCTGTTCACCGCCCTGAGTCCTTCGGGAGTAGGGCAGTATATAAATCTAATAAAAGTAAAGTAACAAAAAGTAATGAGGCGCTTCACAAAATGGGGGCCGTGGGCTAGGTCTCTCTCTCCCTCCATCAACACCAACTAGAACCGGCCCCTGAGGAAGGAGGAGAACCAGCACAGTAAAGTGCCGCCCACCTCTAGGTTCAGGAGCCAGCCCAGAACGATACCATGATTGATACTTCTACTTTATTGTAAAGCTACATTAGCAGAAATTTCCTTGCATTCTTTTAGCGGGTCGTTAAGGTCACCTGACAAGTTTATCTGTCATCAGTGTCACCTGAGTGGTGCAAATTAGCGTTCAGCCTTCTTGGAACTGTTGAAAGGACTGTGTTATAGATTGGAGATAGATGATGTCTATTCCTCCCCCTCTGTTGATCTGACTTTAAAAGACACAGGCCACTCTTTTCAAGACAATAAAGTCCATATTTTGGACAGAGAGGATCGCTGGTCTGAAAGAGGGGTTAAAGAGGCCATCTATGTCAAAATTGAACAGCCCTCTTTAAACAGAGGAGGCGGGGAGATGACATCATCTATCTGTCACAGTTCCAAACCAAGCCAGCAAAAGAAGAGGCCACACTGTGAGTAGAATGGGTCTCTTTACTGGAGTCTCAGCTAGTGAACAATACAAGTAAAAGGGTTTCTAGCCAGCATTACTGGCTTCTGCTAGCCAGCTGGCTATACGGACTCAGCACACCCTGTCCTCCTGTTCCCGGTTGCTCCCTGGATGGCTCCAGCAAGTACTCTTCAGGCCTGGATGGCTTCTGAACTGACGGCAGCTGGCTTGCCTTCCTGGCTTCTCTCCCAGCGTGAGTCCCATCACCCAACATCCACGTAACACCCCTCCTGTGCGAGCTGCACTGGCTCCCGGTGGTCTTCTGGGTACAATTCAAGGTGTTGGTCACCACCTTTAAAGTGCTCCATGGCTTAGGACCGGGGTATTTACGAGACCGCCTTCTGCCACCAGTAGCCTCTCACCGGCCAATACGCTCCCACAGAGAGGGGCTTCTCAGGGTACCATCGGCCAAACAGTGCCGACTGGCGACACCCAGGGGGAGGGCCTTCTCTGTGGGGGCACCAGCCCTCTGGAATGAGCTGCCCCTAGAAGTCCGTCTTAGCCCCGACCTGCGTACCTTTTGCCATGCCCTTAAGACCCTTTTGTTCCAGCAAGCCGGGTTGGCCTAATATGAATTTTATAATGGCTGTATGTGTGTTTTAATTTGTGGGCCAATTTTTTATATATATATTCGATTTTAATTGGTTTTAAATTTTGTATATCTATGTGTTTTAATATGGCTGTACACTGCCCTGAGTCCTCCGGGAGAAGGGCGGTATAGAAAACTAATAAACTCTAAACTCTAAACATCCATCTGTGCCCCATGTACCCCCTCCCCCTGTATGTGTGTGGCAAACTCCGAAATGGTGCGTTGTGGCAACTTTGAACGGCGCGTTGTCTTGGACGTTGACACTATCTCCAATCTACAACACAGTCCTTTCAACAGTTCCAAGAAGGCTCCACACCAATTTGCACCACTCAGGTGAGCCTGAGGACACAGATAAACCTGCAGGTGACCTTAACGACCTGCTAAAAGAATGCAAATGTCCAGCTGTCAGCAAGGACTATAAATCCTTCCATTCCCCAGGATCCAGTCAGAGCTGAAGAAGCTTCTTGGATGAGAAAGGAAATGTCTTCAAAGAAAAAACAGAAAGTCCAGTTGCCTCTTGAAAAAAACACCTCTGGAACAATCATGACCTGGATGACTATGAATCCCCATAGACAAATGTTAAATAACCACTGTGCCACCAGAAATGGATAATATAGGGATTCCTTCAATACTATTGTATTTTTCATGGAAATAATTGCAGAATATTGAAACTGCCTCTTCATCATATCTCGCAGTATTTATTCAGATTACAGGTATATTTTAAAAGTAAGCTAGTGTTACAATGAAAAGGTTACTGAATTGTCTCCTGAACAACTTAGTAAATGAATATGGATCCTTCAATTCCCTCTTGTTAAATGAATAAAGCAGCTTCACAAAGGAAGCCTGGATATCCTGTCTAAACATTAACAAAGTTTTCCATTCCAGATTCATTCCTTCCTTGAAAACTCTGAATTTTACAATATATCCATAGACGGACTCTATCTGGATGAGAAGGGAGACCTGGCAGTGGACCTGAATATTGTCATCTGGTTGTTTCAGAACAACTCACTTCACAGAGTGAATTTGGGCAGCGTAGAAAAACGGGGATCCCTGGATTTCAAGCTTATGGCCAATCCAAAGGCTTTGGAAGAGTTGGATAAGCTGAAAAAGGTGGGGAAAATTTTTTATTTCACCCGTGATAAATCTGTTAACAGCTGGTTGCTTTCTTGGGATAAAGGGAGGTTTTTATCATCATCAATGTCCTCCAAAACAGACAACAAATTCTCCCTTTAGATATCACATTGCTATGAATAATACATCCTTACCAGGGGTGGGATTCTGCCAGTTCGGACTGGTTCAGGTGAACTGGATGTTAATTTTCATCATCATAATCATAAGTTTATTTGTCAAGCATATATATAAGATAACAGGTAAAAGTATAAACATAATTTGAATACATGAAAAGAGTAAGTAAAAAGGAATATTAGGACAGGGACGGTAGGCACACTGGTGTGCTGATGCGTGCCCCTTACAGACCTCTTAGGAACGGGTTGAGATCAACAGTAGACAGTTTAAGGTTAAAGTTTGGGGGGTTTGGGGAAGTAACCACAGAATCAGGTAGTGCATTCCAGGCATTGACCACTCTGTTACTGAAGTCATATTTTCTGCAATCGATTTTGGAACAGTTTATCTTGAGTTTGTGTCTATTATTTACTCATGTATTGTTGCAGTTGAAGCTGAAGTAGTCATTGACAGGAAGGACATTGTGGCAGATAATTTTATGTACTATGCTTAGGTCAGACTGAAGTCAGCGTAGTTCTAAGTTGTCTAAGCCCAAAATTTGGAGTCTGGTGGCATAGGGTATTTATTGCAGTTAGAGGAATGGAGGACTCTTCTCGTAAAATATCTCTGGACTCTCTCGATTGTATTTATGTCCGATATGCAGTGCAGGTTCCAGACAGATGAGCTGTATTCAAGAATTGGTCTAGCAAATGTTTTGTATGCTCTAGTTAGTAGTACAACATTACCAGAGAAGACGCTACGCAAGATTAGGTTAACAACTCTTAATGTCTTTTTGGCAATGCTGTTACAGTGGGCTCTGGCCCTTAGATCTTTAGAAATGAGTATTCCAAGGTCCTTGACAGAGTGAGGGTCATCTACAAGGTCATGTCCATCTAATTTGCATTTTATGTTTTGATTTTTTTTTTTTTGCCAATGTGCAAGAAGAGCATTTGTTGGTTGAGATTCGAAGTTGCCACTTGTTAGACCAATCTGACATATAGTCAAGGTCTTTTTGAAGTGTAGTAGCATTGGGTGGTGTTGAATAATTTAACATCATCAGGGAAGAGGACACAGTTGCTTTTAATATGATCCCAAAGGTCATTTATGTAAAGTATGACTAAAGGAAATTGTGGATTGTAGAGGGACACCTTCTGGTCTAAAAAGAAACTTTGTAACTGGCTTCTTGTTTGGGAACATTGTGAATACTCCAGATAACAACCGTGGGATTTTGGAGATGGAGCTATTTTTTCTTTTTCTGCAGACGATTTGACTTTGTTGAAAGATAGGGAAAGTATGATGGAACTCTTATAATTGGACTAATTGGCACAGGAACAAAAGAAGTTAAATGGCGCAGGAACAAAAGAAGAAAATTGATGTGATTTGTTTGAAATAGAAGTAAAAAAAAGAACTAAATTGATATATGGAGAATTAAATTATGAACATTGAAACTGAAATGGAATATATGTTACAGACAAGGAAAGGAGGAATGATATATACACGGCTGGAAAAAAGAAGATAGAAACAATGTGATTAAAAATAAAGCAATGTATAGATGGACAGTAATAATAAAAAGGAGGTTTTTATAGATTAATAAAAATGAATATGAGAAGAATTTGATATAATATGTAAAAAACTGAAATAAAGAAAAAAGTACGAGATTGTTCTGTCCCCGTCTCCACACACACACACACAGCCAGCCGAGGGTTAAAGGAAGCACTTGGCACACACAGTTTGTTATCAAAAACTTGGCAGCAATACGAGCACCGACTGCCAAGTGCTTTTTACTTAATATCCCTTCACCAGATAAACAGAAATACACACATTTGTAAATAGTCCAGTTCCAAACAAGGAACCTTCGGCAGCTTTAAGCGTTGTTCAAGTGACTAGCCAGAGTTAGTTTTTGTCCGTCACAGTCTTAAATGGCCACTACACTCTCTTATATAGTCTCTGGGGTGTGGTCCAGTGACTCAGTTATAATCCCTGGCACGCCTCCTTAACTGCTGTAACTGTTTATCACGCCTTCGTTGACGTGGATCCAGGAACGACAGATCACCTCCCTCGCTCTCATCGGAGACACCTGGCTCCTGGCTAATCTCCTCTTCCTCGGCCGGCACTTGAGGCAGTGCCAGAGGGGAGGGGCCTGGAGAGGGAGGCCTGGCCGACTCCTCTTCTTCATGTTCGGAGCCTTCTTCCTCCGATAAGATAGGCTCGGAGGGCGGGGCCACAACAGAGATCAAGGCAGTTGTTGAGTCTAGTGTTGTTAGTTACTAGTTGATCAAGTCCCAGATTAGTTACAGTATTGTACAGGGTTGCATGCATAGGTTCAGGTGTACATTCATTTAGGGTCCAATTAATAAGTGGTAAATTAAGGTCACCAAGAAAGATTATTGGGTGTGGGCAGGAGGCTGTCCAGGTTAGTAGTGACGTTAACTTGTTCGCATGTTCAATGTCATAATCTGGGGCTCTGTAACAAAATAAGAATCGAAATGTAGTATTTAAGGACAGGTCCCAGACGATGGTCTCAGGAAGAGCAAGTTCATGTGTAACTTGAATACTTTTTAGATGTAGGGACTTTTTGTAGAAAAATCCTCTACAGATTTCACAATCTGACCGAGAAACATAATAGTCTCTTACTATAGTAATGGAGTCAGGGAGGGATGTATTCAGCCAAGTTTCGCAGACAAATATAATGTCGAATATAGCCGTATTTAGTAAGAGGAGGAATTCAGGTATTTTATTTACTTATTTGCATTAAGTAGCTTGCATTTAAGGTGGTAGTAGTTGTTATAGAGGAAGTTTGGGGCGTGCATGCCTAGTTTTGGATGATGGGGGGTTGGATGGATTTTAATCTGGTTTGCCGAACCAGTAATTGCAAGGACCGGCTGACCCTGCCCACCCCGCCCTGCCTCTCCCAGAAGTCTCCACGTAGCCCATTTTGGATGCCAGGTAAGTGCGCAGAGGCTCTGGGAGGGCGAAAAACGGGCCAACCAGAAGTACCAGAAGTCCAAAAATGGGCCTGTTTCCAGCCTCCGGAGAGCTTCTGGAGCCCGGGGGAGGCCCTTTTCACCCTCCCAGAGGCTCGAAAAAAGCCTCCAGAGCCTGGGGAAGGTGAAAAATGGGCCTACCAGAAGTACCGGAAGTCTGAAAATGGACCTCTTTCCGGCCTCCGGAGGGTCTCCAGAGCCCGGGGAGGCTGCTTTTGCCCTCCCAGAGAAGGAAAGCCTCCGGAGTCAGGGGAGGGAAAAAGCCCCCCCCCCCGTGGTGCAGGAGGCTGAATAGGCCATGCCCACCACGGCTACACCCACCCAGCAACCGGGCAGAGAACCGGTTGCTAAAATTTCTGAATCCCATCCCTGATCATTACCCATTTAAGGAAACTATTCACTAGTTTTCTGTGAAGGGAAGTAGACTTGAGCCAAGGTAGATTTGAGTTTATTTCCTCAAAGGAATAAAAAGGCATTAAATTTTACCTTGAGCAATTTGGCATGTACATTTAGAATCTAAATCAACATATACTAAACAATAGAAAAAAAGAGAAACAAGATGTTACCAAACAGATTTGTCCCAAAGGTGCTTTCAAGACACAACTGGACTTTGTGGTTTTTCTTTGAAGACTTTATATGGAATTGAAGAATTTATACTCCTTCCAGACAGCTGGTCATTTGCATTGTTTTTAGTGGGTCATTAACATCACTGGAAGTTTATCTGTGTTGTCAGGGTCACCTGAGTGATGCAAATGGGTGTGGAGCCTTCTTGGAACTGTTGAAAGGACGCTGTTGTAGATTGGAGATAGATGATGTCATATCTGTTGAGAGACGGCTGTTCAATTTTGACATCAATGGCATATTTCATCCATCTTTCAAACCAGCAGTCCCGCCTGTTCAAAATGTGGATTTTGCTGTTTTCAAATGAGTGGCCTTTGTCTTCAAATGCAGATGTACTGCTGAATCTGGTCCTGGTGGGTTTGTTCTCCTATGTTGTGCCATGCATTTATGAAGTGGTTGTTTTTTTTTCCCCCAATATACAGATCTGCACACTGCACTATACTGCATATACCATATGCAGGGGGCTGGGGTGGGCGTAGCAAAGGTGGGAGTAGCCAGCTTGATGTCACTCATGTCGGGGGTGCCTGTGGTGGCCAGAGCGCTGTGCCAGTGAAAATGAGATCCCGAACTCCATTTTTGGCTGTGACAGCCTTCTGCAACCCTCTGCCAGTTAAAACAGAGCAGCCCTCCCAACCCACTCGCGGCCCTCCCAAGCTCCATGTTCACTGGCAGAAGCATTGCGGGCCAGTCCTTCATTGATTCCAGGACAGCCCCGCAAGCCAGATCTAAGCAATCATGGGCCAGATCCAGACCCCGGCCCTTTAGTTTGACATTTTGGTTTCTAACTCTTCCATGTAGAGATTGGCTACAATAGGGGACACAGGTGAACCCAAGGCGCAGCTGTGTTCTACAGATAAAAACACCCATTTGCACTACTCTAGTGAGCCTGACAACACAGATAAACCTCCAGGTGGCCTCAATGACTCGCTAAAAGAATGCAAATCACCAGCTGTCTGGAAGGAGTATAAATCCTTCCATTCCCCACCATCCAGTCAGAGCTGAAGAAGCTTCTTGGATGAGAAGTGATCTTGGATCTTTAAAGAAAATCTAGAAAGTCCAGTTGCCTCTTGAAAAAGCACCTTTGGGACAACCATGTCCTGGATGACAAAGAATCTCCATAGACATTCACCAAACAGATTGTTGAGCTCTTCTAATGTGCTTCAAATCTAGCAACTCTAAGCAATGAACTAGATCACCAACTCCTTTCTTTCTGGCCCTGATCTGGAAATTAAATCATACCTCAAATTCTGGATGGTTTTCTTCCCTCTGCTCAGCCCCTGCCTCCTTCCAGGTGTGTGGAAAGCTGCAATCCTGGATACAGGAAGGTGCAACAGGAAGGAAAGCCCATTTGCTGCTACAACTGTCTTCGCTGTCTTGAAGGAACCATCTCCATCATGGAAGGTGGGTGGTTTGAGAGGAATGAGAGAATTCCACCTCAAAATGGCATTGCCGACAGCAGCCTTAGTGAAATTCTCTCTGGTAGTTTCATTGTTTGTTATTATTTTCTGTGACACACTGTGAATTTCATACTCAAAAGTTAAAATTTTAAACATCAGGGAGCAGATTTTAAATGACGGGCAGCTTTCTGCGGCTATTTCCCCGCCTGTGTTTATAATGGCGAAGGAGATTCTGACTGAGGAAGTGGCAGCTTTCTCTGTCTCTCCAGTCAAAAGGAAACAAAGGAAAAGGAAAAGAAGAAGCAGGGGTAAGCAAGCAGGGATTTTGCATAGACTCAGAAAAAATGAGGTAAAACACCTGTCCCCTTGCTCTTTTTGAATAATTTACATTCACTCATTGATAAGATAGATGAAATACTCCCTTTAAACAGATGCAACTCTGCTTTTTACAACTCGGCAGGCCACTGCTTCACTGAAACCTGGCTAAATGATTTGATTAGCATGCATAACCTAGGATTTCAGATACAAAGGGCAAATAGAAATGAAGAAACATCTTGTAAAAAGAAGGGAGGGGGTCTCTGTTTTGGTATTACCAACCGATGGTGTAAAAATGTCACAACACTAAAGAAATTTTGAGACACTATCAGTTGCAAACTCTTTTATTCTCCATGCAAGTTCTCTTCATTTATATTAGCTGCAGTATACATTCCACCCCGATCTTGTATAAACAATGCATTACAAACTTATAGCTGAAGGTTGCTTTGAAATGTTATATTAATATATGTAAAAGATTTGAATTAAGAGATATATGGGGAGGAGGAAAAGGGTAGATTATGAGTAGAAATTGCTAAACTGGGGGATATAATAATATTATTATGCTAAATTAGGAGTTATTATATAATGTTACAGTTGAATGTTATTTTGAAATGTATAGTATAAGGGGGATATAATAATATTATTAGAAAGAAAGGGTCAGCGTATGGGGGGTGGAGCAAAGGGATGGTAAAGTATTATATAATCTGTTATGAATTTGGGTTTTATTTTGGAAAAGCCACAGGGGGAGGGGGGTTAGGGAGGAGGGGGGGAAAAGGGGGAAAAATTTGTATCTGAAAACTTTTTCAATAAAAAAACAACAACAACAATGCATTACAAACTGTAGCTGACCAGATTCTGTGGACTGAACAGAGATCTCCAAAATCTCTTCTCATTGTGTTAGGAGATTTCAAGAGTGCTATCTTAAGCGGAGAGCAGGCAAGTTACATTCACCATGTCAACTGTCTTCCTAGAGGCAAGGATATTTTAGACCACTGCTATACAACATTAAAAGATGCTTATCGGTCTTTACCACAAGCAGCTGTGGGACACTCTGATCATTGTATGATTTACCTGTTTATAGACAAAGTCTTACAACCATAAAACCAATAATTAAATCAGTGAAGTCTTGGACTGAGAAGGTAAAGCTACAGGCTTGCCTTGATTGCACAGACTGGAAGGTTTCCAAAGTTATCTCAGCAGACTTGGATGAACTCATGAATACTGTGACATCACACTTGGCCAATAAAGAATAAAGAAAGAAAAGAAAGGGACAAATTATTGGGAAGACAACATGCCTCAACATTTTTTTTTAATTTTTATTTATTTATTTGCAACAAAATATTTATTCACACACAGATCACGACGGGAGCTTTACAGAATATATTAACTTCAGTCAAGATATACAAATAAAAAATAAAATCTACACTAACCTTATCCTTTCTTTATTCTATTATTCAACCAAGTATACCATTGGTCCCAGCATTGAAAATATACGGAGTCCTTTTGATCTCTCAAAATTTCTTTTAGCCTGTCAGCTTCCGCATATTCGATAATTTTTCCCAGAATCAAATCTTCAGCCGGTAGGTCTTTCCCCTTCCAATGTTGAGCAAAACATATTCTTGCTGCGGTTGTGATATATGTAATCAAACACCATATATTCGTGCCTTTCTTATCTGGCTTAATATTTAATAGATAGTATTCTGGTTTCAATTGTCATTTATATATCCTCAACATTTTCTGATAGATGCCCATCACAAGAATCAGACGTGGAAGGGGTGACTGAGGCCACGGATCCAATGTATCGCCAATTTCACAAAGCCAAATTAAGCTTCCTCCACAATTGCTAACCTAGTCAACACTTTAACATAGGATTTGGGCATTATACAATGGAACAAACTTTAAGTTCAATGTTACTTTTGCTGTTTTTCAGATGCAGAAAAATGCAGCAAATGTCCAGCAGATCAACATCCAAACAACAACCGAGATCACTGTATTCCAAAGATTAAAGCTTTTCTATCCTATCAAGAACACTTGGGGATCATCTTGACTTCCATTGCCTTGTTCCTCTCTTTCATCACATGCTTTATCTTGGGAACCTTCATTAAATTCCAAGACACTCCCATAGTCAAAGCCAACAATCGGGACCTCTCTTATATCCTTCTTGTTTGTCTCCTGTTTTCCTTCTTCACCCCCTTTTTGTTCATTGATCAGCCAAGGAGAGTCACCTGCCTTCTACGACAAACAGCCTTCAGCATCATCTTCTCTGCTGCCATTTCTTCTGTCTTGGCCAAAACGATCACAGTGGTGCTGGCTTTCTGGGCCACAAAACCAGGGAATAATGTGCAGAGATGGCTTGGAAGGAGTTTGGCCAACTACATTATCCTTTCATGCTCTGGTTTCCAAGTTGTCTTCTGTAGCATCTGGTTGGGCACTTTCCCCCCATTCCCTGAGTCTGACATGCATTCACAATCTAGAGTAATCATACTGCAGTGCAATGAAGGCTCTGTCGCCATGTTTTATGTTGCCCTTGGCTACATGGGCTTTCTGGCCACCATCTGCTTCACAATGGCTTTCTTAGCCAGGAATCTGCCTGGGTCTTTCAATGAAGCCAAGCTGATCACCTTCAGCATGTTGGTCTTCTGCAGTGTCTGGGTGTCCTTCCTGCCTACTTACTTGAGCACCAAGGGGAAGTACATGGTGGCTGTGCAGGTCTTCTCCATCTTGGCCTCCAATGCAGGACTTCTGGGCTGTATTTTCATCCCCAAATGTTTCATTATTTTCCTGAGACCAGATCTGAATACAAAAGAACATGTGATGTCAAAATAAAATAGAAATGTGAGTTTTGCGTAGATATGCTCCAAAATATCAGTTAATTTTTTTTTAAATTTGATTTATATGCCGCCCTTCTCCAGAGACTCAGGGCAACTTACAATGCGTTAAGCAATAAGCAATAGCCTTCATACTTTTGTATATTTATACAAAGTCAGCTTATTGCCCCCACAAACTGGGTCCTCATTTTACCTACCTTAGAAAGGATAGAAGGCTGAGTCAACCTTGAGCATGGTGAGCTTCGAACTTACAGTAATTGCAGACAGCTGGTGTTAATCACAATGCTTTTAGTCTGCTGAGCCATCAGGCCCTAATTAATTAATAATTCTTACAAGCAACTTTTGACATTTTAATGTTTCTCCTCTGGGAGGAAAACAAATTCATAGAAGAGTAGAATAGCCATAGCATTTAGACTTATATACTGCTTCACAGTGCTTATAGCCCTCTCTAAGTGGTTTACAGAGTCAGCCTATTGCCCCCAACAATCTGGGTCCTCATTTTACCCACCTTGGAAGGATGGAAGACTGAGGCAACCTTGAGCCAGTGAGATTTGAACTGCCAAATTGCAGGCAGCCAGCAGGCAGCAGAAATAGCCTGCAGTACTGCACTCTAACCACTGCGCCACTGCTGCTCTTAAAAAGGAATATGTGGTATTTGGCACGTAAGAAAAGAAACCTTGAAGTGTCTGATTCTCAAGGAGCTTTATCAGAATTTCTGTTGCAGCATAATAGATATGTTTCTCCCTAATAAGATAATATATATTTTATTGAAGACAGTAACAGTAGAAGGTTAGCGAAATAATTTGTGGTTTTCTAATTATGAATATCTAAGCTTACACCATCTGTTATTTCTGCATACATATGGCTGTATCATTTTCTCCTCTTTTCTGAAATGTATAAATATATGCAACCTTTTGTCTGTAGGATTCCATCTCATTATTTTCAGATAGTAATTCCTCCAGTGAACATTTTTAAATCTATTAATAACACTTTGAGCCTTTTTCTGTTCCAAACTGTACCTATAAAAATTAAAAAGAATGTTTTGATTGTTGTGGATTTAATAAGACCAACACAACTTTTCAGGGTTAATCAGAGACAATGTATATTGCGCAATAGATTCAAAGCTCTGTACATGAAGCGTTGAACAAAGACAGAAATTAGGTACAATGGTTTTTATACCCTTCTAGACAAAGGATTCTGTTAACTCAGCAGTTTATGTGATCATATACATTTGTCATATTTAATTGACACTTTCATTTTATTCTTTGCCAACAGTCATAATTCTTTTAGCCAATTACTGAAGCATAGATTCAAATTATCTCTTGTTAATATTACATGTGGTCATACTTGATCTCTTTAACCTTCATACTGTATATCACCAAAGGTCTCTTATCTCTGACAACTGAGGGGCCCCTTTGTGAATGTTTCTACTTCAAAGGAATACTCTCCTTTCAACTGGAGATAATTGGCTTCCCTCAAACAAGCACATTTCCTTTCTTACAAATAAAGAGGGCCCTTCAGTGATCATCCAGCTGGACCCGCATTTACGTACCTACATTATGATGACTGGAATAAATCAACATTGGCATTAATATGGCAAGGGAAAAAAAAGCAAGAATAAAATTGAAAATGCTACAATGCTATGCCTCGGATCATAGGTCATTCTTAATCCTCAGTATAAGGACAGATCAAAGCAGGATGAAATGTCATGTGGGAGAAGCAGCTGGCAAATAACACATTGAGTCAGAAAATAAGGTAGAACCAGGGAGAAGATGTTGACAGGGGGGGAAAGAGGGGAGAGAGGGAGGGAGAGAGAGAGAGCCCAATTCATCCCTATGAGAATGGCAGCCTGGCAATGGTCAGCATCTTAGAATGCTGCTGACTGCTCCAGGGGTGGGCTTCAAAACTTTTAGCAAGGGGTTCTCTGCCCAGTTGCTAGGTGGCCGTGGCCATTGTGGGCGTGGCCTATTCGGCCTCCTGCACCATGGTGGGGGCATTTTTGCCCTCCCCAGGCTCCGGAAACTTTCCTTGAGCCTCCGGGAGGGCGAAAAAGGCCTCCCTAGGCTCCGGAGGCCCTTCCCAAACTTCTGGTTGGCCCATTTTTCAGCCTCCCTGAGCCTCCGCACAGGCCCTGCACTTACCTGCATCCAAAACAGGCCTTGTGGGGACTCCTGGGAAGGGCAGGGCAGGAGCCAGCCAGGAGTGGGATTTGGGAGTTCTCCAAACTGCACACAATCTTAGCTAGAGGTTCTCGCGAACCCCCAGCAGCCCACCCCTGGATTGCTCTATTCTAAGTCTCACATGGCCCAGACTAAGGATGCAGCTCACACTATGGTTCACCTAACATGTAGACATGAACATACATAGATGCAAACAAGGGGAGTGATAAAACACAAATATGCACATATAGCATCCTTCCTGATTAGACATGCACAAAACAACAATAAAAGCAAGACATATATGGTCACACTGAATAGATAATTATAGCCACACAAGTACATACACAAACAGGTGTTATGACCCAGGTGGTCAAGGAAAGCCACGCCTTTACAAGAATCCAAAGAAAATGGAGGGTTTGGCTTACCAGATTGGCTCTTATATTATCAGGCTTGTGTGATAACACAGTTAGAAGAATGGATAACCCTTAAGCACAAGAGAGTGTTATATTTAGAAGGACATGGCTTACAACTGGGATGGCACCAGGGGTGGGTTCTACTTACCTTTACTACCGGTTCGCAATGGGGCCGTGCCCGCGCACACTTCGCTCGCCCGCACACGCACTCTTCTGCGCATGCACAGAAGCGTTCTGATGACATCGGGGTCGGTGGGCAGAGCCTCCCAGTGGTTTTACTACCAGTTCTATAGAACCGGTGCGAACTGGGGGCAACCCACCACTGGATGGCACACCTTTCTATCAGGGGTGAAATGTAAAATTTGTTACTACTGGTTCTGTGGGCGTGGCTTAGTGGGGGGGGTAATGTGACTGGGTGGGCATGGCCAACTTTTTTTTTTTTTTTTTTACTTTTCAAAGCATTTTTTCTAATGCTTTGAAAAGCCTCTGCCGATCAGGCAACTCAGCTGGGATCATCAGAGGCTTTTTTAAAAAATGCCTCTCTGACAATCAGGCAACTCAGCTGGGATCGTCAGAGAGGCTTTTTTAAAAATGCTTTGAAAAGCCTCTGACGATCCCAACTGAGCTGTGCGATCATCAGAGGCTTTTTTTTTTTTACTTCTAAAAGCATTTTTTCGTCAGAAGAAGTTATAGAAAAAATGCTTTTAAAAGTAAAATAAAAAGCCTCTGATGATCGTGCAGCTCAGCTGGGCATGGTGTAGGGGGCGCAGGGATTTTTGCTACCGGTTCTCCGAACCACCCACCACCATCGCTACCGGATCGGGTGATCCGGTCCGAACCGGGAGCATTTCACCCCTGCTTTCTATGGTATGGGGGGGGAGGCCAGAGATACTTTCAAAATCACTATATAAGAAATTCACTAATATCTGTATGAGAAAAAATAAAACCTAAAATATATTGGAATGTTCTTATAAAACTTGCCAGGGTGCCTGCAAGCTACAAGGGCACATTCCTTAGGTCTCAATTTGTCTACTAAATAGCCCGTTCATCTTTTTTTTTTTTTAATTTGATTTATATGCCACCCTTCTCCGGGGACTCAGGGCGGCTTACAATGCGTTAAGCAATAGCCTTCATACTTTTGTATATTTATACAAAGTCAGTTTATTGCCCCCACAAACTGGGTCCTCAATTTACCTACCTTAGAAAGGATGGAAGGCTGAGTCAACCTTGAGCCTGGGGAGATTCGAACCTGCAGTAATTGCAGGCAGCTGGTCTTAATAACAGGGTGCTTTAGACCACTGTACTACCAAGGCTCTTAAAACTGATCTGCCTCACAATTCAAAAGCTTTTTGAATTGCTGCATTTTCTCCTCTTTTCTGAAATGTATAAATATGTGCAACCGTTTGTCTGTAGGATTCCATCTCATTATTTTCAGATAGTAATTCCTCCAGTGAACATTTTAAAATCTATTAATAACACTTTGAGCCTTTTTCTGTTCCAAACCGTGCCTATAAAAATTGGCTTATATATATATATATAAAGATTATCAACACCTTGAATTGGTCCTGGAAGCAAATTGGTAACCAATGCAGTTTGCAAAGCAGGGATGTATTGTGTGCATACAACTGCCTACTCTGCTGCATTTTGCATCGGTACCTGGCCTTGCATTCCTGCAGGTCTTCCCTCTGCTTGGAAAGCCTATGCTCATAGTCCTCAGTGAGGTGCTTCTTCTGAGACGCCTTCTCAGTCAGATCCAATTTGAACTGAGCCAGCTGTTTTGCCAACTCTCTCATGGTGGCTGCTTAGCTCCAACAACTGTTTCCTGTTTGGGCCTCAAGGAGCCTGGGTGGGGAGGTGAGGAGTGGCTGGCAGGGGAGGGGTGAGTAGAGGCCAGCGAGGTGCCCCTCGATGTGAGTGACATTGAGTTGGCCATGAGTTGGCCACACCCACCCAGTCACATGACCACCTAACCACACCCACCCAGCTGGTCATTAGGTAGATCATATTAGTGGCCCGTGTGATTTAAAATTATGAATTTAGTGGTCCCTGAGGTCCAAAAGGTTGAGGACCTCTGATCTAAATGGTGCAATGTGGTTCTAGACTGAAATGAAAGCAAGTAATTTCCTATGGGAGTATTTGGTTACAGAGAAAAAAGCGGATGCGAAAAGAGATTCAAGTTGAGTCTGCAGATTCAACAATTGCATTTAAAGGGACAACTAAAACGGTGAAAGAAAAAGACTCCTAGCACAGTTTCTATATGCTGAAAGAACAAAGAAAAGGGAGTTAATATATTGAAATGCAGTACTTTATTTCTATTGTGTATTCAAAGTGAAAGTGAAACAAAACAAAAGAATGTTTGATTTTTTAGGAACACAACAATATTTTTGAAATTATTAACTGACATTTGGGGAAAAGATGTGCCAAATTTTAATTTCTATTTTATTTTGACAACAGATGTTCTTTTGTATTTAGATCTGGTCTTAAAAAAATAATGTAACACTTTGGGAGGAAGATGCAGCAAAGCAGGCCAGCACTGGAAGTTAAGATGGAGAAGACCTGCACAGCCACCATGTACTTCCCTTTGGTGCTATGGTAGGTGGGCACAAAGGATATCCAGACACTGCAGAAGACGAGCATGCTGAAGGTGATCAGTTTGGCTTCATTGAAGGCCCCAGGCAGATTCCTGGCCAGGAAAGCCACTGTGAAGCAGATGGCAGCCAGAAAGCCCAAGTAGCCAAGGGCACCATAGAACATGGTGACAGAGCCTTCATTGTACTGTAGAATGATTTCTCCAGATTGTGGGTGCATGTCAGTCTCAGGGAAAGGAGGGAAAGCACCCAACCAGATGCTGCAGAGAACAACTTGAAGACCACAGCAAGAGAGGATGATGGAGTTGGCCAAACTCTTTCCAAGCCATCTCTGAACATTATTCCCTGGTTTTGTGGCCCAGAAGGCCATCACCACTGTGATCGTTTTGGCCAAGAGAGAAGAAATGGCAGCCGAGAAGATGATGCTGAAGGCCATTTGTTGAAGAAGGCAGGTGACTCTCCTTGGCTGATCAATGAACAAAAAGGGGGTGAAGAAGGAAAACAGGAGACAAACAAGAAGAATATAAGAGAGGTCCCGATTGTTGGCTTTGACTATGGGAGTGTCTTGGAATTTTATGAAAATTCTCAAGTTAAAGCATGTGATCAAAGAGAGGAACAAAGCAATGGAAGTCAAGATGGCCCCCAATTTTTCTTGGTATGATAGGAAAGTCTTAATCTTAGGGATACGGTGATCTCGGTTACTGTTTGGATGTTGATCTCCTGGACATTTGTTGCATTTTTCTGTGTCTGAAAAAGAGCAAAAGTAATATTTACCTTAAATCTTATACATTTGTAAATGCTAAAATCCTCTCTTCAAATGTTGTCTTTAGTGGCAACTGTTGAGGAAGTTTAATTTTTGTTGTTGTTAGTTGCAAAGTCATGTCAAACCCATTGCGACCCCATGGACAATGTTCCTCCAGGCCTTCCTGTCCTCTACCATCCTCTGGAGTCTATTTAAGCTCACGCCTACTGCTTCAGTGACTCTATCCAGCCACCTCATTCTCTGTGGTCCCCTTCTTCTTTTGCCCTCAATCTTTCCCAGCATTAGGCTCATCTCCAGTGAGTCCTTCCTTCTCATTAGGTGGCCAAAGTATTTGAGTTTCATCTTCAGGATCTGGCCTTCTGAAGAGCAGTCAGGGTTGATCTCCTCTAGGACTGACTGGTTTGATCACCACTTCCTGAAATGAGCCAAGGATTGGTCAGCATTACCTAGGTGAAGCCAACTCTGACTTCGCCCCCTTCACGCCTTGCCTCTGACCCTGTTTCCCCCTCTCCCCAAAGTGTGTCACCCGGTGACATTCCCCAATGAAGTAATTTGACGGGTTGTAGAAGTCACTCAGGGACACGGTGGTTCAGTGGCTAAGACACTCATCTTCTCGATCGAAAGATCGGCAGTTCAGTGGTTCGAATCCCTAGTGCCACGTAACTGGGTGAGCTCCCGTTACTTGTCCCAGCTTCTGCCAACCTAGCAGAATATTGTTTTTCTTTTTAAAAATTTGGTTTTGTAAATTTTTAAAAGATTTTTCCTCTTCATGGGCCCCCTTTGAGCTCCATGGGCCCCAGAACAATGTAGGAGAGGGGGCTGGATCCCCCTCTCCTCAGGCCAGAGGTGTTATTCAGCAGGTTCTGATCAGTTCTGGAGAACCGGTAGCGGAAATTTTGAGTAGTTCGGGGAACCGGTAAATACCACCTCTGACTGGCCCCGCTCCCATCTATTCTCTGCCTCCCGAGTCCCAGCTGATCGGGAGGGAATGGGGATTTTGTAGTAATCTTCCGCTGGAGTGCGGAGGGAATGGAGATTTTACAGTATCCTTCCCCTGCCACGTCCACCAAGCCACACCCATCAAGCCACGCCCAAAGAACTGGTAGTAAAAAAAATTTAATCCCACCACTGCATCAGGCCTGTCTATATGAATGGTGATGAGCATCTGAGTAACTCTAGCCAGATCCCCCTGTATCAGATAGTCCCAAATGTGCTTTTTTTTTTTTCAAGAGGCAAGAGCCTTGATGGTACAGTGGTCTAAGCACCCTGTTATTAACACAGCTGCCTGCAATTTACTGCTGGTTCGAATCTCTCCAAGGCTCAAGGTTGACTCAGCCTTCCATCCTTTCTAAGGTAGGTGAAATGAGGACCCAGTTTGTGGGGGCAATAAACTGACTTTGTATAAATATACAAAAGTATGAAAGCTATTGCTTAACACATTGTAAGCCGCCCTGAGTCTCCAGAGAAGGGCGGCATATAAATCAAATTTTAAAAAAAAAAAGTGGACTTTCTGGTTTTTCTTTTGAAGATGTTTCACTTCTCATCCAAGAAGCTTCTTCAGCTCTGGCTGGATGGTGGGGAATGGAAGGATTTATATTCCTCGCAGGCAGCTGCAATAAATCCTTCCATTCTCCACCATCCAGTCAGAGCTGAAGAAGCTTCTTGGATGAGAAGCGAAACGTCTTCAAGGAAAAACAAAGAAAATCCAGTTGTCCCTTTGGGGCAACCATGACCTGGATGACTGAGAATCTTCATAGATACCTGCATCAGGACTAATAAAGATGATTACACTGGGATTAACAGTGAGAAAAATAAAGATAATTACACTAGGATTAACAGTGGAACAAAGATGATTACACTGGGATTAACAGTGAGAAAAATAAAGATGATTACACTGGGATTAACAGTGGAACAAAGATGATTACACTGGGATCTACAGTGAGAAAAATAAAGATGATTACACTGGGATTAACAGTGGAACAAAGATGATTACACTGGGATCAACAGTGAGAAAAATAAAGATGATTACACTGGGATTAACAGTGGAACAAAGATGATTACACTGGGATCAACAGTGAGAAAAATAAAGATGATTACACTGGGATTAACAGTGGAACAAAGATGATTACACTGGGATCAACAGTGAGAAAAATAAAGATGATTACACTGGGATTAACAGTGGAACAAAAATGATTACACTGGGATTAACAGTGAGAAAAATAAAGATGATTACACTGGGATTAATAGTGGAACAAAAATGATTACACTGGGATTAACAGTGAGAAAAATAAAGATGATTACACTGGGATTAACAGTGGAATAAAGATGAGTACATTGAGATTAACAGTGGAAGGATAAGAGAAAAGGTTAAATTAGAAAATTGATAGTTATAATAATTGGGATATTTTTTAAATATGTACAACAATTGTAATAATTTGAACATTTATTATCTAAGTAAAAAAAAAGAAAATTGAAACAATATATGATTATGATTTATAAACAAAAATTTCTTAATTGGTGTTATATAAATGATATGGTTTAATAGATTGAATTTAGGATAATTGGGAAATTGCATTAAATAGCATTATTTGAACTAAGAATTATGTTTAAAGGTTAAATTGCTATATTTTTAAGATTAAAGATAAGATTTAAAGTTGATTAAGAGTGGAACAAAGATTTAATGAGCATTATGAAATATAAACATGTTTGAATTGTATTGTTAATAATGAGGATTTAGAATAAGAATTGTGAAATGTATTAAGAGACATTAATTGAATTATGATTTAAGGTGGGTTAATAGAAGGGTAATTGTTTTGATTAAGTAAATATGTGATAATTTTTTTTAAAGATGGTATTAATTGAATATGTGATTTAAGATTAAGAAATAAGTATTATGGCAAAATTGAATAGATAAAATTTTGTTAAAGATGACAAAAACTGAACAAATTGATGACGGGATCAAAGCTCTGTTCCGAAAAGATGTAATTTGTATGTTTGGAAAAAAAATTTAAAAACTTTTTGCAAAAAAATAATAATAAGTTAGTAACCCGGTTGTTAAGTGGCTTCCCCATTGGCTTCGCTTGTCAGACGGTCGCAAAAGGGGATCACATGGCCTTGGGACACAGCAATGGTCATAAATATGAACCAGGTTGCCAAGCATCTGTATTTTGATTGCACGATCGCATGGGGATGCTGCAAAGGTCATTTCACTGTGGGAAAAAAATGATCATAAATTGCTGTTCTCAGTGCTGTTGTAATTTTGAACGGTCACTCAACGAACTGTCGTAAGTCGAGGACTACCTGTGTTATTGTTCAGCAGTTTAAGAGCAAACAAACAGCTCCCTATTCAATTTCAATTTAATTTCAATTTAATTCAATTTATATGCCGCCCCTCTCCGAAGACTCAGGGCGGCTCACAATACATTTATTTTATTTATTTTATTTATTTATTTTATTAAATTTCTATACCGCCCTTCTCCCGAAGGACTCAGGGCGGTGAACAGCCATAAGATAAAACACATAAATACAAAAATTTAAAATAAATTAAAAACGAATTAAATAATTTGGCTGAATTTAAAATACCCCATAATTTAAAACAAATTAAAATTTATATTTAAAAAGGGGAGAAGATTTAGGCCAGGCCAGTTTGATGGAATAAAAAAGTCTGAAGCGCGCTTTAAAATCCTAATAAAAAACATTTTAAAATAAAAAACTTAAAAATTTAAAAATTATTCGCAGGACGCCGGAATAATTATTGCCAAAAATAATAATTCAGCAGCTTAAAGGGGAATCTTCCTAACAGTGAGGAATTCAAAGCGACAATAAAGTTATTCTAAGTCTCTAAGTGAGGACAATTAACCAGTGGAACAGCTTGCCACCAGAAGTTATGGGTGCTTCACCACTGGAAGTTTTTAAGAAAAGACCGGACAGCCAACTGTCTGAAATAGGATAGGGGCTGGACTAGAAGACCTCCAAGTTCCCTCCCAGCTCGATTCGGATTCAGAAACATAGGACCCGGGTACCTTCGAGACCGTCTTCTGCCACCAGTAGCCTCCCACCGGCCAGTTCGCTCCCACAGAGAGGGTCTCCTCCGGGTGCCATCGGCCAAATTATGTCGGCTGGCAACACCCAGGGGGAGGGCCTTCTCTGTGGGAGCCCCAGCTCTGTGGAATGACCTGCCCCCAAAAATTCGTAAAATCTCTGATCTCCATGTGTTTCGCTGTGCCCTCAAAACCATGTTGTTCTGCCAGGCTGGGCTATCAATGTAAAGATTTTAATTGGTTTTAAATGGGATTTTTTTTAAAAAAATATTTTTTTAATTTGATTTATATGCCGCCCTTCTCCGGAGACTCAGGGCAGCTTACAATGCGCTAAGCAATAGCCTTCATCCTTTTGTATATTTTTATACAAAGTCAGCTTATTGCCCCCACAAACTGGGTCCTCAATTTACCTCACCTTAGAAAGGATGGAAGGCTGAGTCAACCTTGAGCCTGGCGCGATTCGAACCTGCAGTAATTGCAGGCAGCTGGTCTTAATAACAGGGGGCTTTAAACCACTGTACTACCAAGGCTCCTTTTAAATTTGGGGTTAAATTTTAAATTTGGGGTTTTATAAATTGGGCCTATTATTTGATAATTTTAATTATTTTTAAACTCTTGTCTGTCTTTGTGTTTTTAATCAGGCTGTACACCGCCCTGAGTCCTTCAGGAGAAGGGCGGTATAGGAATAAAATTAATAAATAAAAAATAAATAAAATAAAATAAAATAAAACAGCTCTTAGTCGCACAAATTCAGGATTATTATTATTTTTTTAAAGTGAAATTCGAGTCGCTTCCAGGACAAAGGCGTTTTCACACGACTCACTGGGGAGGGGGGAGGGGGACAAAGAGTCCGATCGGCCATAGGGAAATCTCTCCCCGGAGAAAGGCGTCTGCACATGCTCAGAGGCTATTTTTGCCGCTCCAAAGCGGATAAAACAGCCGCAATGGAGCGCCGGCGACCGGCAGAGGGCTCTGGACCGCATGACGGTTTGCTAAAACCGGTAGGCTTCGCTCGTTTGACGCTACTGGATCTAGGGAGGAAGAGGCCGATCTCTCCAGCCGGACGGCGGGGTTATATCCGGAGACAGGTAAACAGGCTTAGTGTGGGCACAGCCGGAGGGATCCTATTCGATCCCTCCGGTGCAGGAAGGAGGGATCGGACTGAGGGGGGATCCCCACTCAGGTTTTTTTCAAAAACCCCCTAAAAAAAAATTCCATCCCACGGGGTTCAATAAACACCCCACCCCGCGCGAAACTGCCGCCCTTCCCGCGTGTATCTTTCGAACGATCGGCGCAAACATCAAAGGGGAGAGAGAAAGCCACGATCAAAGCAAGTCCGAACGTGACGTCATAAGAATTCCGAGGCGATCCCTTTGAAGTCAGGCGTCAGTAGAATTCCCAGGCTTCGAAAGGGGAGGGGCGCGGAAGTCAGCTTTTCAGCCTTTCAAACCCACCCACCCCCTTCCACGCCTTCCAGGATCTGGACTACAGCC